CACTGTTGCTCTATCCCTAAATACCCTCTCTCTGACTCCCCCGCACTTCTGTAACCAATCAGAGCAAATTTGCTCAGCATCTGAGAAGGAGAGAGAGAGATAGGATCTGTGAGGTGTATCTGCCTCATCTTCCTCCAATCACAGGCTTTGGGAGTTGCCAAAAGTCAGGTCCAGAGATTGCTGTCGCTTGGGTCATGGAATACTGCTTGCTGCTGAGTATAGGGTGGAAGGAGAAGGAGGATATAAGGAGGACAGGAAAGGAGGGGTCTGCAAGGTGGAGATTACAAAGAGGCTACAAGTGAGAGGCTGTAAGGATAGGGAAATGTTGAGGCTACAAGCAGGTGAAGGGGCAAGACGACTGAAGGGTCTGGTAGAAAGGAGGAGGTTGCTCGGAGTGGGGGGATGGAGGAGAAGACTAAATCGGGGGAGGGAGGAACTAGCAAAGAGGCAAAGCGAGGAGGCTGCAGGGGATGTAGAATTTGAATATTATGGTATCTAAGAAACAAATGATTTCCTTGTCTATTGTGGCTTTAAGTTTAACAGAGAGCTAATAATTGAGGATATGATGAGTTCTTCCATTTATGATTCTCCTTGAGTCCACATTTTGCACACATGAACACAAAAGAAGGTATTGTTCCTATGTATTTACATTGCCTCGTCAATGAGTTAGTGAGAATGAAAACATATCCCCTAAAATGAAACAGTAGCCTTCAAAACTAAAAGTTATGAAGAGAGTGAGAAAAGAAATGAAAGGGCTAAGTTCAAAGTAGTGGAGCTGTTTGCATAATCTGAACAACCAAGTTGTGTGCAATTGTCTGATAAAGTCACAGTTGTAACATTTATTAAACCTATACATTCAATGGTATTTATAAGTAGAGTCAAAGCAATTATGTTTTCCTGAATCTATATAGACTGTTCATTCCCTCTGTGACTCGTCCACTTCTGGGCACCAGGAGAAATTTACTCGAACCGCTCCAGGGATAAGGGATTACTGAGAAGCTGCTTTTATCATCTTTACAGCCAAGGAGTCCGAAGGGATTTGATGGAAATCAATGAAACAATGAAGGGTTTAGATTGAATAAATAGAAACTGTTGCCAAGGGCTGATGGATGAATAATCAGATGACCCAGATTTGACTTCATAAATTGTTAGACAAAAGAACCAAAGGTAACACAAAGAAGCATTTTTTTCCACAAAGAACAATTATGATTTGGAAAACACTCCCTCTCCGACATTGTGATGAATACGGTTTCAAATTAGTGCTTATACCAAAAGTGGATAAATACTACAGGGAATACAAAAAAAAGGAGACAGAACAGATGGTGAGAAAGGTGGTAAAAAAATTAAAGCCCTGCTTGATGGGCTGAATGACCTCCTTCTATTTTGCACTATTCTGATCTACAAGGCCCAGAATTTATCAGAAGGGTCCAATAGAAGCTTTGAGGATTGAAAGAAGATTCAGGATAAGGGGTCCAGAAAAGAGGAAGCTCCAGAGCTAATGATTCTTTTGCCTTGTCCAGTGGCATGCCAACCTGATACATATTTTTGCTATGTAAATATTATTTAAAACAATATCTTCCTATCTAATTTGAACGCAACTTCTCATCCACCAGCTTCCATGTCTAGATAATCAGCCTCTGCCATTTCTATCACCTCCAAGGTTATGCTAACACCAAACACATTTTTACCACTTATCCCCTTTCAACATTCCCTCAAGGAACAAGGGATCATTTCTCCACAACTAGTCTGATGACCCCAAAGCTCTGCATTTCATGCAGCATCTTTCCACGCAAGATCTGACATCTGCCCTTTTAACTTCTCCAAGAGCTTACCATTTAAGACCCTAATCTGTCATTCTGGATGAAATATTGATTTACTCATGAACTTTTAATTTGGTATACTATATTTGTTGCTCAAGGAGTTATATATACTACATTAGGGATGACCAAATTTAGCCCAAGTGACTGCCTTCAAAACCTCTCCATTCAGTCAACAAGTATGATGCCTGAACAGTATATAGTCTTCTGGATTTGACATTGAGCTCAACATCTTTAGATCATAACGTCTGTTCCAATTATTTTTTGGTTTTCTTTGCCCCTCTCCGTCTAGTTTCTCACTCATTTCAGATGCCAACATATTCATCAATTTGTCATTCACACCTCATCTGGACGTATTTTCCCCTTACTTATCCCAATAACATCACCATTGGCCTTGCACCATGAAGCATTTTGTCACTATCTCCATTGCTATCATAGCCTATCATAGATCTTCCTGTATTGTTCTACTGTTCAATTGTTCTGTGTTTGACTATGTTTTACAGTTGATGTTTGGTCTGTTTGATTGGTTATGCCTGTGTGTGGATTCAGAGAAAAGTGAAGCCTTGCAATGAGCTGCAAGTTAGAGCTAAAAACATGGGCTAGACATTTTAAAGCTCTACAAACAAATTATGCCAACCTTTTCAATGTCTTCCCCTTGCCATTCTCAAAACCCATTACATTTCTAACGGTTACCAGGTCTGGTAAAAAGTCATTGTCTCTATCCACAGCTGCTGCCAGACCTGCAGACTATTTTGAGCATCTTGTTTCATATTTCATTCCAGCTACCTCCCTCGCTTACTTCTATCATTGGTGGGACCATATAGAAAAGCAGTTAATGTGAATATGGAAGGCACAAGCCAACCACCAATAGGAAGCATAAGCATAAGCTACATTTACTTAAAACTTGTAACGTGCTTAATTTGATTGCACTCTGTTTCAGTCACATCCTGAATTTTTTTCATAGTGCTGTACAAGTTAACTGTACTATGTATCGCTGAATGTGCAAGTATGAAAAATTCTATTAATGTGTCAGTTAGGATTGGCATTTCGTTGACATCTTGTCTAAGCCTTACAATACCTGTAAAAGGCCTCAACAGAAATGTCTTCTGCCTCACTGTTAGGTCTTGTTTTACCCTGGCTGCAGGTGAGCCATTTCCTTTTCTTTCACCAAAGCCTCATTGTTAAAGTCTTTATGTATGGTATCAAGTACTGGAGTAAAATACTTTTGAAGATTGTGGCAATGCTTATTTGAAAGATGCCACAGATGGGTTTTTTAAGCTATTTTCAAGCACTATTTTTCTCTTTTGAGAAGGGATTGGGAGGTGCTGGATGAATCTCATGCTGATTAAGTGTTGAATAACATCACAAACACTTTCCATGGCTAATAAATCCTGGCTTGGGATTTAAATCCCAAACATCTGGCCCAGAGATAGAGTTTCTACCACAGCACCATAAGACCTCAATCTCTCAGATCCATTCAGCCAAATGATGGTGTTGAAGTTCCCTATGGTATGTTTCATAATAAGATTGGTGGCTGTGCAGACCTTGTATCTCTGCTTGGCTCCCCTTCATGGGTGTTTGATAATATGACAAAATAGAATTAAATAAGGTTGGCTCAGTCATCCTTGATATTGGCCCACTTTTTAAAATATCACAAATCCAAAGGAACTTCACATGAAGGTGCTATATCTGTTGCCTGAGAAACAGGCATTGCTCTATGTGGTACCATGAACTGACTGTCTGCTAACTGTTGACATTAAAAGCTAAGGTGTGCAAGACCAAGGTGTTACATGGGGCTTTGCAGGCTGTTGGGTGGAAATGTCAGGTGGGATCTTCAATTTTACAACGGAATGCAAACAATAGCCTTGGACTTGAGAAAATTGAGTGATTTGAAACATATTTCTTGAGTCATTGTATTACACTGCTGTACTTACAAGGCAAAATGTTATAGATATCATTCAGTTTCTTTTTAAAATGTTACCTGATAAATACATTTGTGAAGTTAAGATTGACTGATCATATTGATATCCGCAGTGATAATTGGAAATAATTCAGAAACATAATGGTTCAGCACTGTGGCATAGTTGACTACCACTAGCAATGATATCCCAGAATGATAATCTATTTGAAGGTTAGATTTAAACCGATAACAGAAGTTTCTCGCAGTCTTCTAACTGAAACAAAAAAAAAGTTTTCCTTAGATATCTAGGTCTATGGACTTTGGGATTATGTGAACTAAGCCACTCAGAGTAAAGTAGAGCCTGCACAGCATTCTGTAATCATCCTCTTCCTCTTCCAAATTAAACAAAGCTTGTTAGAATTTACCTTTCCAGATTAAAAATGCCCTAAAACCCAGGGTAAAACTTTCAAAACAGAACAAATTTGAAAATGTAAGTGCCTTGGAAACTCAAGTTAATTTTAGCTTTGTGGTGGCCCTGTTCTAAACTCTGACTCGTGTCAATCCAGAGCTTTCCTGATCCTGTAAATCTCTTCTGTGAGATTCATTGAGTTTAACAGCACATGCTCAAGTGACAAAACTACAGAAATGAATTATGTGCTGATTTCCATCTCAGCACCTGTATCAGGAACTGTAGTATTAGAAAGAAGACAGTTTAGTCTTGCTGAAAGGTTCCCAAGCAGAGCACGAAACCTGGCGTCACATTGATGGTTATTCTCAGCTCTCTGGAGAGTCAGTGGGAGATCGGTGCTGGCTCTTCAAGTGAAAGCCTGTCAAACCATACATCAATCAAGCATTACCCTTGGACTCTCAGGAAATAGGTGACTGATATGGGGCAGGTTATCAAAATGCTTTTTAATCTGAGGTGATGATCAGCCTGCAGCATCTTCACTATTGTGAAATTAAGGCATTCCAGGTGGGTATTGGATGATTATTTGAATAGAAATGGTAAGATGGGAAATGGGGAAAAGACTGAAGATTAGCACTAGGTAGTAGAACTACACATGAGAGGCACAATGAGTCAAGTGGCCCTCTTCTGTACCCTATGAATTCTGTACAACAGACCCTTCTGCAGCTTAGTTAATCTCATTGCTGATTGACTGAGGCTTTTGACTGGTCCTTAATTGCAACAGAGTGGAAAGACTAACCGTGGGCCTTTCTGTCCATTACTTAATGGTGGTGGGAAGGTGGCACACTACCTAATTACACATCTTTCTTGCCTCCAGGTTTTTCATCTCCAGGAGTAGACAATTTCCCCAAAGCTTGGAAAATGGGCAGAACAATCTTCATCCAGTTTCCCATCTCCTTCACAGGAAAGGTATTGTCATATTGCAAGAATCAAATGTTAAAAGCAGGAGTTTGGCAATTTAATAAGGCCAAACTAATCAAAGTAATGTCAGCAGCTAGATAAATTATGAGAGCACACATATTATGCAATAAGTTCTTACCACTTTCTTTAATCCCCCAGTGTGTAGAGAAATAGAGCTTTTCAAGACGTCCTTAAGCATATTATTATCTTTATTGTTATCCTGACTTCTGCTTTATTTTTTCACAGGTTTTCTGATAGATGTTCTGATGGTTATTAATGTGATACACCTCGATGAATAGATCTTATTTTACTCTTTTATCATGTCATGCACCCAGACAATTTCTTTGATCTAATAGATAATTTTCCTGATTACCTTGATTTCTATTTGATCTTTTGTCTTTTTTTTATCAGTGAAAGTGAATTTATTTTTGTATCAAATTGATACATCGGCAAAATCATCCCTTCAGGATGCTGTCTCAAATGTCTCCCACAGATTAATTTGTAATTTTGTCAAGCATTTTAGAGCATTTTAATCCATTTGGTTAACAAGTTTGAAACTATCAAGCGCAGTAATTCTTTTGACTGAAGCATAAGTAGGATTTACATGTGTAAGTGTTTGTCAGATGGTAACCCCGATATGCCATATCCTGCTTTTGTATTTTTAGGACACATTTGTGAAAAATGGATCTTCCACCCATCCATACAAGGCCAGCAATGAACAGAGGAGACATTGGATTGAGGAATCCTTTAAATATTGTCTTGGCCTTCAACTGTTCTGTTTTGGCATTACTGCCCTGGCATCCAGCAGAGCTGCTACCCACTCCTTGACTCAGCTGTGTTCAGGTCTTGCAATTCTGAGGTATTTTTCCCCTACTATTGTGCTGAAATAGCAAGACTCCTTGTAGTCCATTTCTATTCTCCACCACACCGCCTTTTTGTGAACCAGAAGAATAATTTTTCTGCTTTATTTGTAGTTTCTAGTTTCATGTGTATACATAGACTCCAAGAGGTCAGCAATACAAACAAACAAATTTATTTGTATTCTAAAAAATCACCGTGAATCGAGATCTGGTGTCTCTGTCTTCTTTGACATTAATTTCTACAGGTGGACTGCTGCCCGATCCACTAAAAGCCTTGTGTCCTTCCCAGCTTTGACCTTTTGGTCAAGTCAGAAACAAGGGGCATGGGTGGATTAAGCCAGAGGTTACTCCACAGTAGCTGTATAGGTTTCTTTGTGAAAATATTGGCTGAGTTCCTATGAGTAAAAGAATCAGAATGCACAATTATTTTGCACACATTTCTATGGAGACAGGCAGCCTGCAAAGTTTGTGTTTCCTGCCTGTCTGCATGATTGCAATGTGCAGCCCAGCATGAAATGTTTTGCTGACTGATTTGCGCTCAGTGAGATCCAATAACCTGCCTTCAGTTTTGGCAAAGTTCACTGATCCCTCTCATGTGGTTAAGCATCTCCAAAGTATTTCACCTACCCACCCCACCACCAAGGTCTCATATAGTTCAGGGCAATAAATCCTCATTGTTCACCCATCATTGATAAGATCTAGGTATCAGAGATGGCACCTCACCCACTACTACTCTATTAAACACTTATTAATGCTGCCTGTTTCCTGCCTCATATGCATTGCGAATGATAAAATCTGCCTCCAGCCATTGAGCAATTGGAGACATACCACTCAAACTCATTGCAACATGTTCACTGATCTTCTTCCTCTCTCTCACTGGACTGTAAGAAGTAAGAAGAACAATCAGGTAGAGACATATCTTCACTGGCTGGAAGAAATTGCATTTTGCATCTTGGGACCAACTGTGACTGGGATTGATGTTGCTATTATTAGAAAGAACATCTAGGATTTGTATGTTCTTGTCAAATTTACTACTTCGTCCTTATCTTACTGTCTGACATGAAGTGCCATCTGCAGATAGCATGACCATAGGCCTTTTGTTTTCCATCCTACCCTTCTTCATTTACCCCCAGCCTCTCCTCTGCATTTATGCACCCAAAATACCCAAGACCTGAGCACTACTCAAGCTCTTCCAACCATCATAATCTCATGAAGAAGAGTGAGAGCAGCAGCAGATCTCAGATGAAGAAGGATCATGAATTGTTTTGGCAAGTATTGTCACCACCTGAAATATTGATATTGCTTGAAGTTGATTGTGTTATTCAGGTGGAATAAATATCACCTATTCAGGTGGAATAAATATCACCATGATGAGTCACTGGCACAATGGACTGAATCTAGGCATAAAGGACAGTTTGTCCACCAATTCCCCAATGATTAAGTTTTCAGATGAGTTCTGTTGCAGAAGGCGCAGTGAAAATTTTGATGGGGTGGCATTCATGATACCAGTAATGAACATGTGTGCATCAAAATATTTGGTATATTTTGAGTTGTGCTGTCACCGTTGAGAAACATAAGATTCCAGCACTAACTTGGAAGAGAAGTTCTCAAGTAGTCTGTCTTTTCCAGTGTGTGAGTAGTGTCCAACTCCATCATAGCGGTCACAGGCCCAGCCGCGATCCATTATTTGGTGCCACCAATATCTGTGTGCTGCAGATGGAAATGAAAGGATCCAGGTTGGTTGTCATGCAGGCTCAAACTGCTGCCATCTTGACTACAAATATTAAAGCTTGAAAGGTTTGGAGTCTCTCAGGAGTTGAGGTTAACACTCCAGTAGATCACTAGGATTGCTGAGGCACTGTCATGTGGGAATCACAATAGTTTCATCAAGCACAAACCTGCTGTCTTCTCTCAGCATAATATAATTTGTGCTGCCCTTAGTGCTCCAGCATTTCCTACGGAAATGCAACTGTCTCAAATACTGCTGTTTGTTAACATGGCGGTTAGAGAGGTGCTCCATCTCATTAAATGCACCATTCCCTTCTCTGCTGCAACAAAGACAGAAATTGCTGGCAAAACTCAGCAAGTATGGCAACATCTGTGGGAAGAAAGCAGAGTTACAGTTTTGAGTCTGGTGACTCTTCATCTGAGTTTTGCCAGCAATTTCTGTTTTTGTTTCAGATCTCTGGCATCCTCAGTTCTTTGCTTTATTTTCCCTTCTCTGCTGCCTGTTTTCCATTTCCCATGTTTTGTTACAGCTCAAGAGGAACTGCAACTATACTGTCCCTTTTCTGGAGCAGCCTTTCTCCTGATAAGCCTTCCAACACCTCTGATCCTATTAACAAAATCCAGCAGTAGTTCTTTTTTTAAGTCCAAAAGATTTATAAAATTCTATAATGACACTCAACATGGTACTTTTGGTAACACCATATTAGCAAAAATAAGTCAAAAGTGCCTCGTTAAAAATTGAATAGTTATCCCTTCAAATAGTGTGTTCATGTTAGGGAGAAAGGGCAATCTCTTGTGCAAATGAAAATGTGTTCAAATGAGAGTATAAGGTTTAAAATGGTAGAACATGTGGCAGATCAGCATTAGATGCTGTTTGAACTTGTGTGCACCCTTACTGCATGCCTCCAACACATGTACATGTGCACACGTACCTCTACAGTCAGGAAGACCAGCGTGGGCAGCAACAAAAACCTCCCTATTGATATCTTATGAGTTTCAAATTTCTGCAGCACAGGCTGCATGGAGCCAAATCTCACTGTCATTTTCTTTGCTGCATTGAAGTGCTTAATTGCAGCCTGCTGCAAAAGTTAATGTGAGTATGCAAATGTATGTACAAACCTAACAATGGTCAAGTCAAAAGTTATAGCTTTCTCTGTATCCCTGATAATGGAAATAATCAGTATATATTTTATCATTCAAAGTGCTATTGAGGTCGTTTTACTTTTATGATGCCTGAGGTAGTGATGTCTGAGTTAATGACTGCATGCTATGTGGGCTAATAGTCTTTCACTATTAGATGAACCTCTTGGGTCTTATTAACATTTATAAAATTAATCACAAAGACATTGCTGCAAAAGTTAAAGATTTTTAAAACAAACTATAGAAGCTGCAGAAGGATTCTATTTTAATGTTGAGAATTAGAAAAAAAAAGACAATAAGAATATTGCTATTTAACCTTTATCACAGTAGTATGATACACTGTCTGGGAAGATGGGAAACAAATGATCTTTTGATATACTGTCTTGAGTTATTTTAATGTACAAATAGGTATGTTTGTCATTGATGTTAAGTCGTGATCTAAGCATCTACATGAAACTAGATGTATATGTTTGAGAAAAAATAAGATCCTCACTGGTTTAATGCAAGTTAAAAAGATTCTGACAATGCCAGAAAGAGATCATTGTGTATAGAACATGTTCAACATTAGCTCAAAGCTGGGTTTTAAACATGAGCATGTTTGAAACATTAAAGGAGTGAATAGATTCTTCACGCCAACTGTTGAAAGGATTGATTTACAAAATAGGTCTTGTTTTATGGAAATTTGAAAGAACACCATTCAAGTTCAAAAGATGACTCACTAACAGTGGGAAATCATTCCTGCGACTTGGAAGTACTAGTGAAACCCCAAGCCTTATGAAAAATGATAGTATAGAAAACTAGAGCTCAGGCGGTGCTCAAGGCTGATTAAAATGCAACAGCATTATGGATATTGAGGAGTTGTTGCTTATGCAGATACTGTCTTCCAACTCAAATTCAGCTCCAGGGCACAATTCTGTTCACAGAAGAGGAAGCTATTTTCGATGAAGGAAGAAAAAATGGCAAAATCCTACAAGAAAGGGGACTTGCATGAATTGCTCAATTAATCATCCAAAATGGGGGGAAAGTCAAGTTGATTGTCTCCAAATTTTCAATGTCCGGAACTTTAGAAACATAGAAAACAGGAACAGGAATAGGCTATTCATCCCTTCAAGCCTGCTTCCCCTATTCAATATGATCATGGCTGATCATTCAACTCACAACCCTCTTTCTCCCCATACCCTTTGATCCCTTTAAGAATTATATCTAACTCCTTCTTGAAAACGTTCAATATTTTGTCCTTAACCACTTTCTGTAGCAGAGAATTCCACAGGCTTACCACTCTCGAGTGAAAGAATTTCTCCTCTTTACTGTAAGCTTTGAATGTTTTCAATTTGGCTGATCAATTAATGGTGAAGATGCATTATCTTTCAAAAAATGCTGTGAGGAACTTTGGTATTAAGAACACAGGTTACCTTCATAGGGACAGACTTGGCTATCTTGAAAGGGAACCAGTCAGAAGTGGAAGTTTCCTTCATTTGAAAAAAACTCACAATAAGACAACTTTTCTTAAGGATATCATAGCTTTTATCACAAACCATGCAGTAAAACTGCCGATTTGTGTAAATTATCTGTTAATCGTTTTTATTTGTGCCAATCTACAAAGGCTTATTGCCAATTCATGAATGTGACTCTTGGGAAAATAGACTGTTGCAGAGTGGGTAAAAATATAAACAAAAACACTGGAAAACTCAAATTAAAACAGAAAGTGCTGGAATTGCTGAACACCTCTGTTCTGTGGAGAGAAATAAAACAAGCTAACAGCTATTTAATTTTGTAATTTTGGTTTCTGTCTCTGATAGGTAACAGCAATGCTAATCCAGGAAAACAAAGCCAAGCAGCATGGATTTAAAAAAAAGGTTAACTGAGATGCTGAGATCCCTGCTGTCATTCCCAACCCTGTTCTCCAAGTTCACCCTTCCCATGGTCCCCTAAGACCATGCTCTCTTTCTCAGAGCATCTGGGATGTCCTCTCCCAGTCTTCCAACACCAACCACCAATACTCCCCTATCACATTCTAAGGCTGAGCCGTTCCATCTCTGCACTCCTTATCCAATAACTTAGCTAAATACCAGTGCAACTAACATTTGCAGATTACCACTACTGCATTTTCAACGCAATATTGAGG